CTTGGTAGCGACCTTTTACTTTCTGTTTTGAAACAAAGTCCCACCAAGTTGCTCAGGCTAGCCCTTGCACTCACTCTGTAGCCCAAGGAGGCTTTGAACTTGCCATTCTCCTGCCTCAGCTTCCCTGATAGCTGGGATTGCAGGCCTGCACCACCAGGCTCGGCTGGCAAAATGATTTTTGAGTGAGAAGTGAAGTGGGTTCCGTCAGTCAGAGGACTAGAGTTGGGAAGCAAAAGCAGAAAACAGCCTGTTAGAAAAGAGAATCCCGGGTGGGGTCTGATCAACCTGCTTGCAGAACCCTTTCAGGCAACCCCGGGCAGTCCACACTACCACAGTTCCTCTATAGTCACGGTTCTTCCCACTGCTACCAAATATCTGACAGAAGCTACTTAAGGGAGAAAGAGTTCACTCTGGCTCACAGTTCAGGGGATACAGTCCATCATGGGGAAGGCATGGAAGTGGGAGCTTGTCACGTAATTTATTCATGTTTTTGGATCAGGAAACAGAGCTCAGGCCAGAAGTCAGGAGGGCCAATAACCTTCAAGCCTCACCCCTCAGTGACTCACTTCCTCCAAGCAGACCCCATCTCCTAAAGGTTCCACAACCTCAGGCCAGAGAGGTGGCTCAGCATGTAGATGTGCTTACAGCACAAGTCTGACCACTTGAGTTTGATTCCTGGAACCCAGGGCAGAACAGACTTGAGAATGTTGTCCTCTGACCTAGCATGCACATCAAAGCAGGGCGTGTGCCCTTCGCCTCAATACCACCCACACATGGTATATATATAGATATATATGTTATATCTAAGAAAAGCCTCTACAACCTCCTAAAACAGCACCACCAGCTGGGAGCAAAACGTTCAAGTATGTGAGTCTGTGGGAGACATTTCACATCCACTCATAAGAGACCCCCTCACTGGCCAGTTTAGGGAGAAGCCAGACCTTGGCTATGGCTCCATGTATCACCCCAGCCGATGGCAGCTGCCTGCTCCCACATTTCTATTCTGGTCTTAACTTTCCTCCCTGTCCCTATCCAATGCTGCCTGGACTAATTGTCACATCGGGCTCTGGGACAAAAAAAATCCCATGAAAATGCTAACAGCTGGCAACATAATGGAGCACATGGTGTTTCAACTTTGTGATTCAGTCCACTGAATCTCCAAGAGCGAATTTCAGATGGTGGTCATGGTCTGGTAAGGGACAGCCAGCCCATCTGCACAGCCCCTCATCTGTCTGCCCTACCCCGAGCCTGTAGCCTGAAGTCTGCACTAAGCGATGGTGGCTGTTATGGGCTGGATGTGAAATATGAAATGTCTCCCACAGATTCGTGTATCTGAAGTTTGTTCCCAGTTCATGGTTCTGTTTTAGAGGTTATGGAGTCTTTATTCAGTTTTTTTTTTATTCGTCATGATTAGTGGCTGGTGTGCGTGCGTGTGCGTGCGTGTGTGTGTGTGTGTGTGTGTGTGTGTGTGTGTGTGTGTAGAAGCACAGGCATGTCATGGTGTGTATGTGTAAGTCAGAGAACAGCATTAGGGAGTCAGTTCTCTCCTTCAATTGTGGATTCCAGGGATGAAGCTCGGGTCATCAGCAGGTAGCTGCATCCTTGTCTAATGGTGCACCCTAGGGAGAATCCGTTACTGAAGTCAAGGTACATCTGCCAAAGACCTTTGTCTTCCAGTTTTGGGCCTGAATGGAGACTCCATGACCTGCTTCTACTACCAAGGCAACCTCTGAGGGAACTGGAGACTGGTGTTGGGTATTTATGGACCATCTGTGACGCCAGGTAAAAGGCCTTCAGATGGGAGCTCCCTGGGACCACTGATCGGGGTCTCTGCATGGTTTTAGTAACTGAGACAGGATCCCCAGACACGTGAGTTGTGCAGGAGATGGCCTTTCATGACCGTGAGGGAATGAGGAGCTGAGCAAAGGCAGGCGCCTCAGATAAAACTGAGCTGCGACCTGAAGCCACGGGAGCATTCTCAAATGATAGCCACGTCATCCTTTGGAGCAAGAGGGGCTAGCCTTTGAGCCTTTTCATTGCCTGGCTCATCATCCCTTTCCCTGGTGGGGCTGACTTCCTAGGTCACACCACCTTGGGATGAGGGCCTGCCTGGCAAGAGCATTTGGCTAGTTCCTCTAGAGGAGTGCAACATCTGCATGACGCATGTATGCAAACCACCCACATGCTAGCGCTCTGAAGTGGTTGCTCCTAGAAACAGAAATAAACGACAGTCCAGTTGGGAAGAGCTTTCCTGGCTTGGAGACAACTCTGGTAAGGAACTTTCCAGTGTGAGAAAGGAGTCTGAGGCTTAAGGTAAATAACGATTTACCAAAAGGCGACTTGACAGTACGTGTGAAAACATGGACATAGCACTTTTCTTAAAAATTAGAGAAAATAGCGGTGTACAAGCTGGCTGCCTTTAAAACCCCACACCGTAAAACTCCTACTGGTAAGTCAGCACCAGCAGACATTTAAACGTTTAACATCTTCTTGGTTGTATTACAGCTCTGCCGTGTGCATCTGCCTTTGTTTCAGTCTGATGGAACAGGGTGCAGTTTTATTGATTTCAGATTTACCCACCTGGTTTTTGAGCCCTGGTAGGAATGGGGGCAGGGGGTTCTGGTGGTGAATGCCCCCACCCAAGCCCTTCAACACTGAGGTAGGTACCCCTCACTCAGCCCTGAAGCCCCTACATCCAAGAAAATGTTCAAGGAGAATTCGACTGCTGATGGTCTGGGGTTTTGTTGGTGGTGGTGGTGCCCTGATTTATGATCCTTCTGGACTATGCAGTGGCCATTCTGCTGTGACATCAGAGGCAGCTCAAGAGTTTAGCAGTGACTTGAAGAGCTGAGGGACAGTAGCTGCTTGTTGGCAAAGTGGGTGGCCCACAGTGAGGTGTGTTAGGATGGGGCTGGGCCATCTAAGAAGCTGTAGCTCACAGCATGAAGCTGGGAAGAAGATAGGCCTGGCCACTGTCATACTGGAGAGCTTGACCCAAGCCTTCCACCTCAGCGAGCCATGGCATCTGGTTTCCTTCGCTTCTTCAGGACTGGTTAGCAGCAGAACGGCTTTGATTTCATCGGCGTAACTTTTCTGCTTTTTACTGAAGACGAGGTCTGTGACAGTTTGGGCATCCCAGCTGTTCTAGGAGAGTAAGACTGGGGCTCTTTACCCTTAGCTGTGCCACTTAAACTCCTCCAGCCCGTGACTGGGATTTCTCCATCTCCAGCAGTCAGCCTCTATGGTACAATGGCTGCTAGAGGCCAGTCAACAAGCACGCTTGATCACAAAGGAGTCTCCTCAGCTGAAGTTCACCGTCAACTGTCTCATGTAAAAGCACCTCTAACAGCTACTTTATGTAAGGTCATAAAGTGCTAACCCTGGGGATCCATGCTTCAAGGACTTATGGTCTTCACACCAAGGCATGCCAGGTTGGTGCCATGAAGAGACTGTGACTCCAGGCTACTTCACCCAGCCTCACCCACAGGTGCTGAAGGACTCTCTGGGCCCCTCTAGAATCTCTCCAGCACTCTGGAAACCACAGAACTAGTGTAAGCCTTCTGCTACAAGAAGACCCAGACCTACTCGGAAAAGCCCCCTTATAAGAGGCTCAGCAGTCCCAAGTCCTTCCTGTCACCCACACAGGGGTCGCCAGCCTTCTTGGTAGAGGTGTGTCCCCTCTGCAATCATCTCCTCTCCTCTGTCGCTGCTCAGTACTAAATTGCTCTCAGACCCCAGTTCTCTTCAACCCCGCCACCTCACATCCCCTGTCAGGCCCTGATCCTACCTGTATGTGATCTGAAAGGGAGACATCCAGACTGCGACAGTCAATGGTTACCTTGTTGAGGCAGAGGACAAGGGTGACTTCCTTTGTTGGATGTTGCTATGTTGTTAAGAGAAAAAGAACCCCAGGTTTGGCAAGGAGGCTATAGGTAATGGACAGCACCACTTTCCAGAGCCATGGAGGTTGTCACGGAGTCTGCAGACAAGGAGACAGAAAAATGGCAAAGGATGGCATTGTTTGCCCTGCAAGCTTCTGCATCTATTGCCTTTCAAAGACAGGAAACAGGGCTGTGGCTCCTGGCCCACAGCTTCTCTCTTCTGGCCCTTGGCCTCTGTCCTTGGCCTCTGTCACTCAGAGCAATCCTTTATTTACTGACTTTAGCTGGGGAACATCTTCGGTCTGTCTTCTACCTCTCCCTCTTCCTTTTTCTCCTTCAGTTGCACACATGAAGCATACATATTATATACACATGTACATGTGCAGTCCCACACCAGATCGCACACAGAGCACCACCACAGAAACATGGATATACCAGACACACAGACAGACAGACATGACTACCAACAATTATGTACAACTCCTCCAGTCCTACATAGCTCACACAGTCATACACTCACATATACACTGACACAGACATACACACACACTCATGCATGTGCGCACACACACACACACACACACACACACACACACACACACACACACACACGGAAACGAAGTCTCTTGGGCAGGTGGTGACCTTGGCAGCTGCAAACAGACTGCTAAGACATGGAACTCCTCAAACGCCTTTGGATGATGCGTGTGTTGAGAGGGCTTGGTGGTCACAGCTGCTTTAGGCCTCTGAAGCTGGATTTAGAGTGCAAACACTGTTCAGGGGGCAGCTGGGAGATGGTAACCACGCTGGAGGTTTGCTTGTTTGGTTTGAGAATTCTTCAGGAGAGATCCAGGGTCTACCACTCAAGCCGAAAGCAGGATGGCAGGTCTTCCAGGTCAAAGGACAAGGGCTAAGGGACGGAGTCTCCGCCATGGCTCTGCTAGAGGTCAGCTGTGTCGCACCAGAGTCAGTCACCTGCCTGAGGCCTTGGCTTCTTATCTCACCCTGCCAGTAACCCAGAAGTCAATTACTGACTGGAAAAAAGTTTACTGACTGGAAAAAAAAAAATCTGTGCAGAAAGCTCTTGGTCAGGGTTGAAAAGTAACAAACAGGAAGCTGTGAAATATTTTATTTCTTTTTAATGTATGCAAGGAAAGGCATGGTTTAGAGTTCCCTGTCAGTCAGTACGTTGGGAACGTTTATTATGGAAACAGTGATTTTACAACCACCTGCCATAGTATTGAGCTGAAAAAAACAGGAAAGGTAGAAAAATACAAAGAAAAAGGACAAATACCTAAAATTAGGTCTTGCCATAAAGTCTGTAGCACGCGGTAGTTTTCTGATGGTCAAACACAAGGCCAATACCATAGAGTTGACTAATGGTTAGTACTCAAAGTCAGGAGTTTTCCCATGTGTCAGGAGGATGTGACATAAAGTTTAATATATTCTATTTCAGTTGGAAGGAACATGTGTACGTATGTGTGCGTTAGTTTATAAGGACATTTATGTGAAGGCATTTATTGTCTACATACAGATAATATTATATTTATATTACATCAGCTATATAATGAAGAAAGGCTTTAATATTTGGTTAAGAATGTTCATCTTAAAAAATGCATAAAATTTTAAACAAAGCTTTGAGTATTAAACAGGCAAATTCTCATTTATATGGAAACCCTCGATCATATTTAGCAGGAGTTCCAGATTTCCTCACACATCATTTATAAACAAGCTCCAAGCTTGCACCTATGAGTTCACTTTTGCAGCTTTTGAGGGCATGTCAGCTTGGACTAGGGCTCTAGACTGTTATCTAATGTGTTCACTGTCAAAGTAGAAACAATTGGTGGCCTGTCACACATCATCTTAGAGTTTGGAGCTCAGACATCGCAGTGGGTCCACTAAGATACCTTCAGCCTTGGTTCACTTTTTATTTTGAGATGACATTGTCCAGGCAGGCCCTAAAATGTTGATCCCCTGCCTCAGACTCCCAAGAAGCTGGGATTGCAGCCCTGTGCCATCAGATATGGCTTGCTTTAATTGGATTTTGTCTCGTTGGTGGTGATTTTGTGGTTTTGGTTTTTTAAAAGATGTTGGTATGAAGTAGCCGTGCGTTGCACGTTCCTCTCCCAGGCTCATATCAACTTTGCTCTAGGTAAGTGAGAAATGGGATTCCCAGGAGAAACGGCAATGCTAATGATTACAAGAAGCTCACTAATCTAAGTAAACAAATGTTTCCTTACATGTTGGTGGATATGTATGAGGTAACCAACCACTTTCTGCTTAGACTTGAGTCCTACTCCATAGGAGGAAATTCCTATCTGGTACTGTAAACCTAGTCAAAAGTCAAGGCTGTGGAAGTAGTAAGTCCTGGGGAGGAACCTGCAAAATCAAGTCAAACTGCCTTCTAAATATCTATGTTTAAATCTGTAGATGAGTGTTGTCAACTTTGGTCAGAGAGGCTTCTTTTCGAAATGGCAGCAGTTAATAAATACAGAGCCTTCTAACTGGTCAAAGTGCCGAGACTAATTGACTGCCAGATGCTCAGGACATTCAAGTCACCACCCACTCCGAGACTCAGGAAACATCTGGAATAAGGACAGAAAGAATGTAGGAGCCAGAGGAGGAGTGCTGGGACTGCTGTCTTCTGGACCTGGCATGGCAGGACCTCACAGCAGCTATAGCCCTATCCCTGCACACAGCAGCTGTCCCTGCACACAAGCCCTGCAGCAGCTCAAACCAGTCAACGCTTGCTCCCTCCAGCACAGGTGGGGTGGGTTCATGAGGCTCACCCTCGACTGAGAAGCGCTTGGCAGTTGACAGCTGCTGGGGACAGGGGAGCAGTTTTTCTTCAGAAGTACAGCCACTGATAGGTTGTTCATGGTTCAGTGGGTGGCCTCACGCCCATGTGCACGTGGGCGGCACTAATTGGACTCAGTGGGTTATAAAAAATAAAAAGTGGACACGAAGGGGTGAGGGCACGTGTTGGGAGGTATTTGGGGCGGGGGAGTTGGAAGTAGATATGGTTAAGATACATTGTGTACGAATATGAAACTATCAAACAATAGATTTTAAATATTCTTTTTCAAAAAGTGAATGGTCAGTCATAAAGCACTCTGCTCAAGTAAATGGATGGTGGAATTTCTGTTCACAGTTAATTTTCACATTCCTGTGTCTGTATTAAATCAATGTCATTTCACGGGTCAGTTCACAAGGTCACAGGTTTGTCCAAGTCACAGGTGCTAAAATAACAGTAAATTCTTTGTCCGTATTACTAGTCAGATCATGGACTTCATTTACTATCTAGACTTTTCCGGTTGGTTCTGAGCCTGAGGCTGTTGCGGCGTCTACCCTAGATCAGGGCTCTGTACCCGGCATTCTCCTTCAGATTAAAGTCATTTGAAGCAGTCCCTTCCAGGCTTCCGGAACTTTGACTCCATTTTCCTTACTTGGAGATGTCCTGGTTTCTTTGGGGGCGGTAGCCTGGTGATCCGCTTCTTAATTAGCTCCTGGTGCTCGCTCTCCAGTGATCACCCTGGAGTTGCATTACAATAGACTGATCCACACTAAACATGACCTTGGGTGTTCATGAAGCTGGGAGATTTGCAAACAGAAACGCTGAGAACATTTAATCCCTCTGGCATAGCAGCGTGGCACTGGCCCCACAAAGACAACTCTGCGGAGAGATGTTCAGTCAATTTTTAGCACACTGCTTGCATTCTGACTGATTGAAGGGCTGACGCTGAGGAAGTGTGTGGGAAAGCGGGTGATTACTGCTCCTGAAATCCTGTGTGATGCTCAACAGTCCTGACAAATCGGCAGCAGAGTAATCCCACCATAATTAGCCGACCTTCTGCGGACCCTGTGTCCACATCCTATTTACTTACTAGGTTCTTTTAGTCATTTCATTAGCATTCTTTAGGGTCAGTTCACGCCCCACCCCACCCTCTAGTGAAGCCCTTTGGAGTACCAGGTGCACCGCGAACACTGTATTCGAGAAGAAGCAAGGCACGTGCTTATGGCTGTCCTCTTTGATCACTAAATAAAGACGTCCGTGTCGATCAGCGAGCACACGCTTACTGTGTTGTCTGGTTCTGTTTCCAGCGCGGAGTTGGCATGATTATACTTCCTCCTCACTGTCCTCTGACACGGGTACTGTTGTTTATTCTCATTTGACTGGAACCCACCATGTAGACCAGCCTGGCTGGAAACTCATGGCGGTCCTACTGTCCTGTCCCCACTCCTAGCCACCCTTCCCAGGGGTAAGCACTTCTTTTAATCACCCCTATAATGATGCAACTAGGGTATAGTCTTGACTGTCAACCTGACACAAACTGGAGTCACCTAGGAAAAGGGAACCCCGATTGAGGAATTGCCTCCCTCAGACTGCCCCGAGGGCACGGCTCTGGGGCACTGCCTTTATTGATGATTGGCATGGGAGGGAACTAATCCACTGTGGGCAGCACTGTGCCTAGGCAGGTGAGCCTGGGCTGTGTAAGAACCCAAGCTGAGCAAGCCAGAAGGAGCAAATGTGTAAATATTGTTCCTGAATAATTTCTGCTTCAAGTTGCTGCCCGCCTGGGTTTCCTGCCCTGTTTGAGTTCCTGCCTGGACTTCCCTCAAGGATGTAAGATGAACCAGCCTTCCCTCCCCACATTACTTTTGGTCATGGTGTTTATCACAGCAACAGAAAGCAGTCTGGTGCATGCCCTGGAGAAGTCCTCTTTGGGTTTCTCGTTCTTGGAGCTGCTCCCATTCTAGTGTGTTACTTCTTTGGGTGTCAGCCACGACACCCAAAGAACCCCAGAAACCCTCTAGGGAAGGAACCATGTGTTCTCTTCTTTACCTGCTTCATGAAGTGGGGAAGGCGTACACTCAGCATGCCTGGTGACGGATGGACAGAGGGTCCCATGCACTCAGCATGCATGGTGATGGATGGACAGAGGATTCCATGCACTCAGCATGCCTGGTGACAGATGGACAGAGGATCCCATGCACTCAGCATGCCTGGTGACAGATGGACAGAGGGTCCCACGCACTCAGCATGCCTGGTGACGGATGGACAGAGGGTCCCACACTTCAGCTTGCTATGCACCGTTTCCCTGAACAGTCAGGCTGGCTGCACACAGCAGCCCCACAGAGTGGGGAACTTGAGCTCCGGTTATACTCAGCCCACACAGTGGCCTTGGCTGTGCCTTCTGGTTCCAGAATGCCAGCTGTGTAAGTTCTTGAGGTTTCCTGCAATGAAATTTATTTTGTAAGTTTAGATTGAAGCACAGTGTTGATACTATCCACGACCTCAACTTGTAACGAGGTTTACAGATGACAACAGAGTTGTCATACCCCAACCTCTGGAAAAAGCCACCACACATGGGCCAGATACCCATTCCAGACCCTCCCGATGCTCGTTCCACGTGGGGGCTGCAGAGGACAATGCTCACCTCATGCTCTTTCTTTGATCTTCAGCGTTTGGAAAGGGAAGCTCTTTCTTTCTGGTAGCCAAGAAAGTGCTGCTCCGTGTTGTGATCTGATCTAAGCCAGTTTCTTAATTCCTTAATTGTTTGCTCGGTACGGTAGCTTTTGACAGAGAAGGAAGAGAGCTGAGCGTGTCTTACCCTGAAGCTCTCCATTCCAGCCAAATCCTGACACATGTTCTACACAAAACCAAAACAAAGCAGTCAAACAATCTGTCTTTGATTTCTTTTTTTAAGACGGGATCTCACTATGTAACTCTCAATAACTCTCAATGGAGTGTTTTGATCTGAGAGGAAACCACTACACAACACACAGATGCAAGAATCAACCTTAGGTCTTCATGCCCTCATAGCAACCATTTTATCCTCTGAGCATCACCTCAGCCCACGTGTACAGTGTTGTAAATTGTTTACTGACAATATAACCCCTTCCCTGGAGTCAAATCAGTCTTGAACACTGAGAACGTCTGCAGAAGGCTGATGGTCCCATTACATCTTCCGTTGGACGTCTGCTTGGGTGGGACATGTGGTGACCTGCCCTGGGACAATCGGTCTGAAGGATTGCTGAGAAAGCTTTCTAACATCAGAACCATGGTATCAGCTCAGAGAAAACCCCGAGGAAAGCTGTGATGCATCCATTAAGCAAGTCATTTCACATAGGATAGCATCTCCAAGAGAAAGGGCACATGAGTTCTGGGCCATGTGGTAGGAGCAGGTCACCCCTCTGGGGACCTGCTGTATGCCCCTAAAACTCTGGACTCTGCCTGGTTGAAGGTCGTGGTCTCCCAAAGGGACACACTCTTGTTGAGGGTCCTATTGAACTGTAAACCATACTTGCATCCTGCCCCAGGTTTTGCTGGACTAGAAGCTTCCCAGACTGACTTCCAAGGTGAGATGGGGCTCTACTCAGCAGACTCACTCAAGCTCATCTTGAAGATTCAAAAGCCTGAATTTTGGCAGAGAAAGAACTCACAGGTTCTCTTGTTGGCTCTAAGATGTGCTTAGATACTTTTTCTTTTTGTTACTTTCACTTTTCAGATGTTAGCTCTCAGTGCCACTGACCATGTGAACCCTGAGCCACCAAGGGTCACTGTACATTTCTTTAAAACTCCAAGGAAAGCCTGCAGGTCCCATCTCCAGAGGCACCTTTACTCAGGTCACCCACCTTCCAACCCAAGGTCGGAATCCCTCCCTGACCCCAGACAAAGAACCAAAATAAGTCTTGGGAAAACTTGATTTTGCCCAATTGGAGACTTAATTTTTTTTTTCACTCTGGGAAATGTAGACTATTTCTCTCTGCTTCCAGAACAGAGAGTAACTGGTCCTTCGGAAGAGAAAAGACTTACGTGAAGCTCTACATCAAAATGTCTCCTAATCTTGAGATGTTATCTAGGACAGTCTATATTTTCAAGCTTTAGTTCAAGTTCACGCCCTTCAGTTGCCCCAAAAGCAGCATTTCCCTCAACTGCTGACGTAGGGAAAAACGTGTGTTTTGCTCTCAAAAATAAAATGAGAAAAAAAAGAAGAAGGGAAGGTTCAAATCTCAGTGTCTGGGTTTGTTTAAGGTTAAATTTACTCTCCCCGAATAAATCAATTTAGTATACTACATTTTATTGGTTTCGCCTCTTTATACTAGATGGCTCAGTCACCAAAGCGCTTGTCACATGAGCGTGAGGGCCTGGGTTCAATCCCTCGAATTCTTGTAAAAAGCTGTGCGTGGGGGTCTGTGCCTGTACACACATGTGGTCATGCATACACACGCACCCACACCAGACACACACACCAGACACACACACACACACACACACACACACACACACACACACACACACACACACACACACACAAGACAACAAAAAGGAATCAGCAGGATTTATGTAGAGCAGACATTTCACTGGGTTGTTGACTTAGTACTTGACAGCTCACGCAAGCTGTCAATTTGGACCAGCCCGACATTTCAGATGGAAAAACAGTAGAGAAAAAACTGAGCACAGAACTGGCGTGGGTTTTTCCAAACTACCTCTCCTGCTTCAATTTCAGTCCTGAGTTAGGCATTGACCACAGTGGTCCTGTCGGTGGGATTGTGCCGTTTGGTAGAGGATGTCACACCACAGCTGTCCTTCTCCCACTCAGTCCCTTGCCTGCTCTCCTCACTGTTTAGTGCTTAGCCGGCTTTTGGTAAAGAGGACAGAGTTAGAAGCCAGTGCTGATCTGTTTAACAATCCTCCTGAAGCCTAGATACAAATAAGTAGGCCTTCTTCAAAGGCGACTTCCTGGGACGTGGTGGGCTTTGTTACCAGGGAGGCCCTGGCTGCTCCAGTTATCGGCAAAGGCCTCTTTTGGAAGCACTTTGAAGGCTGCTCCAAAAGCCTTGCAGGGTAGTGGCCACAAGGAATTGCACTAAAACTCTTCATCATTTGTGAGCGGTGGGTCATCGCCACCTCAGAAGCTTTCCCAAAGCCACTTTATGTGTGGAATCGCCCACACTGTTCTTGTCGGTGTTACCTTAAGTTATGCACGAGCTGCCCCAGTCAGGGGAGCATGGACTGTGCAGCAATAACTAATGTATCTGCAGAGCAAGAGCAAGTTTGCAAACCCAACCCCCTTCCTGCTCATCAGGAAACAGCTCTCTCATGGAATGCTGACCTTCTGCACACCTTGCAAGCAGATGCTCTGGCTACCTCCTCTAGACTATTTCAAGGCTGTGTATGTAATGAGTAGAACTCGGGAAAGACTGCCCCTCCCCAAAAGGATAGGTTCACTTACTGCCTTGGAAAACAGAGACAGTGTCTTACTTCAGATCAAAGGATATGCAAGCTTACGAACTAGCCTAACAAAGGTGGTATCTCCTTGAGGAACCACAGAAATGCGTGGTCACTGACCAGGACAAACGATTCAGGGCAGCAGTAGAGTGCTTGTCTAGCATGAATCAGGCTCTGAGTTCATACCCAGCACTGGAAATAACAATAAATCTTGGGCTGGCAAGATGGCTCAGCAGGCACAGGTGTTGGAGCTGGAAGACCCCAGATTGTACTGTGGACCCACTCAGCAGAAGGGGAGAACCAGCGCCCCCAGAGTTGGCTTCTGACCCCCACACACGTACCATGGCACATATACCAACTCTTTCTCTCTCTCACTCCTGAATGAATACACAAATGAATGGGGAAAATTTTAACTTAAATTTGATTGTTTTTATTAAGAGCATTCCCTATTGGGAGTGGGTATCATGGACATATTAGAAGTCTTGAGCTATCCATAGTAGAATTTATGTAAAACTATTATAGAGAGTGTTGGTTATCGGTAAGATGCCAAAATAGGCCATACTCTGGAAGGAACTCCTCTGTGAAAATCAACAGGGAAAGCCAGTCCTGATGTGACAAGCTGACCCCCCACTTTATATCACACTCATCCTCCCACCCCGCCCCCACGTTCCTTTCCTATGGTGAAGCCCACTAGCATGGGCTAGCGTTTGATTCTCTTCCTGTCACTCAGTGGGAATTGCGGACACCCAGATTCAGATACCCTGGCCGCTATTTTTGCTGTAATAAACTGTCTTGTTTCTGACCTGGGAACTTAAATTGTTAATGTCTGTGAACCTGTGGTTGACAAGCGAGGGCCAAATGACCATCAGGATTTTTGGTTTTCTTCTCCTAGAGAATAGTAAGGAATGCTGTATTAGTGCTGAGCAGGGCGGGAGGAGAGAAAGTCCTGGAGAAACTTTATATAGTTTATATTTAAGCAAGCCTTTATATAGGTTGTAATGAATGTATTGCTCTCCTATAGTTCCTGAGACAGCCATCTGATTGCGTGGATCAGATGGCAAATATATTGTTGACAGTTCTGGAAGCCAGCTCTCTGAAATTAAGGGATTAGCAGAGCTGGTCTCTCAGGGAGCTCTGGGGAGCGTCTGCTCTGAGTGTCTTACAACTTCTGATGGCTGTCAGCATCCCTTGACTAGTGGCTACACCGCTCCAAGAGGAACCTCTGCTTCCTCTTCCTTGTGAGTCTCTCCTCTGCAGTTCTCACAAGAGCACTTGCCATTGGATTTAGGATCCAGGACTGACCCATGTTATCCAAGATGACCTCATCCTGAAATCCTTTATCTTAATTTTATGGGCATAATCCTTTTTCCAAATAAGGTAGCATTCCCAGAGTCAGGGATTAGGAAAGTGTATCTTTCGGTGCATCACTTAGCCCACCATAGTGTCCCTCATCTGTATAATCTGACTAGTCAAAGAATCTTAAACCATTATGATAATTGGAAATGGACCTGGACTAGTAGATTCCATAAATTCCTGACAGACACCAGTGCAACCCCTTGGCTTTTCTGGCAGGGGTGCAAACCCCATCTTTTCTCTCCTAGGCCTCAAAAAAGTCCTACAAATAGTATCTCAAGGCAAATAGACATAATGGAAACCAACAGACCAGGACGCAGGGCACGAGGAGCGAAGGGCTGTATCTGAATGGTCGTGGACATATGGCTGTCACATGGAGCTGGAATAAGGACCAAATAAATCTGCTACTGCAGATTCCAAAAACGAACCAGCAGGGAGACCACAGGGTTCTCAGGAGGGCATGTTGAGAGTCCCCGGGAGTTTTATACAAATTTCTCAAATGTGAGTATGTACACTTTTCTGAAGAGAGAATTCTTAGGTCTTATCAGAGTTTTAAAAACAACACCTATCCCAAATGAGCTTTAAAAGTATTCTGGGCCCGGGTGAGATGGAGCAGATGAAACTACCACCTGCCAAGACCTGGGTTCAATCCCCAGGAACCACAATGGAGACAATCTACTCCCAAAATGTGTCCTCTGACCTTCAAACACACACTGCGGCATACCACAAACAAACAAACAAACAAATAAATTATTTTAGGCCTAACTTGTACCGAATAAAAACTAAAGGGACTGTGGCAAGTGAAAGATTATTGGACTGTGAGAACCAAAGTTACATTTGAAGTTTTAATGACTGTGCCATAGAGATCCATGAAACAAAATTCCTCTGATCTGCATGCCCTTGCCCAAGGATAGATAGTTTCTGAAATGCTGGAGGCTGTTGTTTATAGGGGACAACAAGCCACGTTTTCACTCCCCTAAACATGTTAGTTTGACCCATCTGCACCAGGTGTGCTTGATCACATGTGGGCGGGAGGTTCACAGGCAGGAAGTAAATCACAATGTATGTTTGCCCCTGGTTGGACCTGATGGGAAGTACTCAAGTCACTGCAAACCGTGACTCGAGGGCATTTTCTGGAAACCCAGAGGTGGACCTGGCCAGAGCCCATCCACCTGGCCAGTATTTAAAACTTGTTTCAAATTAGGCTTTAAACTGTGGTAGTGGTCTTATTCTCAACCAGTGGGATTAATAGGAGCATCATGTTATACGAAAAGCCTTAAAATCACAGAAATCAATGGGCTGTGAAAATCAAAATTAGGAGGCGAGGATATAGCTCAGTGGTAGAATACTTGCTCAACATTCACAAGGCCCTGGAATCAATGTCCACAATGCAAAAAAATATGACTACTTTTATTATGACTGCTCCCTATTGGGAGTGGGTTTCTCAGTGTTGTGGCCATATTGAGTCTACTATAAAACTATTGTAGAGACTGCTGGTTATGGGTGAGATGCAACAGTAGCCCTCATTCTAGAAGAACGTCTGGGTCAAAGTCAATAGATGAAGGTTCCTCTCCTTTCCCCTAAAGACTAAAACATCCCAGCCCCTCCTTTGTATCAGGACTATTCCTTCATCTTCGGTCACGTTGTTTATATCATACGGCACGCCCCCCCCATAGCCCCGCCTTTTACAATTTTCCTTACTTCCTCTTCAAGTCAAGTTCAAGCATGCTGCCCATGAAGTTTTCCCTAATTCTAGTGCCTCTCTAGATTTTCCCTAAATTCCCTCCCTCTCTCTCTCTCTCCCTCCCTCCCTCCCTCCCCCTCCCCCACCTCCATCTCTCACTCCCCTCTATGACTTTGCGAGTTATGTTCATTCTTTGACAAATATTTGGTCCCAGTGACTCACATGCAGCATTTGTTTTTGTTCTGAATTCCCTTGGTTACAGGAGAAGGTCCACTTAAACAAGCCCAAGCAGAGAGAGGAAGAGAGGGAAGGAGGGGGGGCGGGAGACAGAGTCAGAGGGCCTGCGAGAATGGAGTTGACAGTGACTGCAGATCACGTGTGCTTTTTTTCTTGGAGGGAGGACATGGCTGCTGATGGCCTGTCTGTTTCACATCCAGCAGCTCCGAGATCACAGAGGAGATTGAGTGCTGTCTTCCAGATCCATTGTTAAAAACCTCAAGGAAGAACTCACTGGTAGGTTTGCGGGGTGCTCACCCTTGACCCAGTCATTACAGCTGGGGAGGTGAGTCTCCCCAGGTGGCCGCCCCTGGGTCCCAGGAATGCTTCTAAGGCCAGGAACAATGTTTTTTTTTTTTTTCTAAGAGGAAGAGAGGAAGAGCTGCTCCTTGGGCAACTTGTATCTGTTGCAGATATGAGTTAGCCTCATCTCTCTCATTGTAGTGAGCTCTTTAAGGAGTACACCTTACTTCACAACTGCTTACCACCAGCTGAGAGTGACCTGTGCTCTCCACTTCAACTGACGGCCATAAGTGGGCATCAGACTGGAGTTATCAATCTTCTGTTAGGATCATAATCTACACGTGGATACAAATAGGCAGGCTAGCGCATCAGTGTTCACTCCCCCTCTTCCTTTTCCTTTTTCTCCTTCTCCTCTTCATCACATGATGAATATGAAGTTGCAAGGACAACAATGGTCAGGCCCAGTGAAGAGTGTGACTCATGAGCAGAGGAACCAGAGAAGCACGTGAGGGCAAAGTTGACAGGAGCAGACTTGAGTTTACTGGCCTTTGGATTTGCTAGAACTTAAGGTGATGGTCTACGAGCTCCGTGTATAGAATAAAAGGAGCATCTCCTTAGTACTGGGCATTGGGGCACAGCTTTGGATAAGATAACGAGTTCTCTTGTAGCGTAACTGGAGTATGCAGCCAAATGTGTGCATGTGTAGCAAGTGCCGTGAAATCTACTGTTAACATCCTATCCTGAATCCAGAATCATCTCCAACCTCCGTTCTCTAACCCATAGACTCCTGTCCTTGAATGTCCATGAAGGTGGTATTGAAGAAATCTCCATTCACACCGTCAGGAGTCAAACCCGAACAGTCCCCATTCTGCCCCTTCCCTTGGTCATTATGGTGAGCACTACACTGGCTTTTGGAAGATCTGAAGCAGTGGGAGTGGAATGTGGCCAGAAGTCATTTGGGTCACTCCATCAGCCTTGGAATCTTGGGGATCACACCTCGCTAACACGGAAAAGAGAGAACTTCTAATAACATCTCAAACAGCAACTCAGCCTCAGTGCAAGATCTGAACTGTGGCTTTCTGTCCAGTCCACTATCACTAAATGATAACTATTTTGTGGTCCTTGTTCTCCCAAGAGTATGCATTAGCCAGACCAGGATTTTTGCTGGGATATATACCATGTGCCCCCAACATGAACTGCAACCAAAGAGGTGCTTCGAAGTAGGGGCTGACCCAACAACAGTATACCAGGAGAGGGCGTCAGTGAGAGGAAAGGGAGGAGGGGCTGGGGCAGGCCCCCCTGGTGTGGAGTAGAGGTTATGGAGGACCTGTTATTCTGCACACCTTGGCCCTCTTCTTCTGGAAACAGCATTGCTTGTTCTTTGGGAAGTTGCCCTTTTCTGGTTAAGAGGCCATCAGTTCACACTCACTTTGGTTTCTGCCACTCTCTACAGAGAGAATTGGGAAAGATCTGTCGGTGGCAGTGGGGTGTACTGCTTCAGGTTCTGCCTACAGCAGCCAGAGGGGTCCTTTCCAGAGACTCTGTGAAGATGGGGTTCCTGACTCACCGAGGAGGTGAATTTCAGTGCGCATCAGTGCGGTGCACAGCTGGGTCTCCATCAGGGAGAGCCTTCAATGGAAACTTAAGCGGGTGATTAACAGAAAGGGAGGTGCTGGCAAAGGGTAAGATGCATCTAACTGTGAGTGTGGCTTCTCAAGGGAGAGCTGTCCAAGTGTTTTAGCAGTAGCCAAATAGACATTTTTGTGACTCTTGATTTGGATCTCAAAGAGTTATTAAAGAGCCCTTTGTGTTCCCAGGTGGTGGGGCACCTTTGTGGGTGTGGTGGTGCACCTTTGTGGGTGTGGTGGGGCACCTTTGTGGGTGTGGTGGTGCACCTTTGTGGGCGTGGTGGGGCACCTTTGTGGGTGTGGTGGTGCACCTTTGTGGGTGTGGTGGTGTTGCACCTTTGTGCCCCCAGGTGGTGTACTGTTATGAGCCCAGCACCGGGCAGGCAGAGGTAGGAAGATCTCCAGGCAGAAAGGGTTCCAGGCCAGTTAGGATTACCAAGTGAGACCCTGTCTCAAAACAAACAAACAAAAAACCAAAGACTAAAGAGCCTTCTGTTTCAGTAAATGAGATTATGGGGTGAGGTGGCTCCAGAGGTTCCTTGCACAGGATTAAAACCTAATAGCACAAAGCCATGGGTCAAGGGGTTAAGGCATGTCCTTCCTGTGAATGGGGTTCTTGTGAGAGTCCTAGCAAGAGGGCTGACAGCTTGGAAGAAGAAGGGCTCTGGTTTGTTGCTGTCCTCATATTTATTTGAAATCTCTCTGTGTGGAAGGAATACTGTAGCAATAATCTTCACACCAGTGTTAATTGCGCTAGAATTCTCGACTCACAGGTGGTGGAGGACTTCAGCCAGACTAGGGGTGAAGGACCCTTCTCTCCTTGTGGCCCTCCCTTTAAACGTTCCCTGGCTCTGTAGCTGGTTCCTCTTGGTCCTGTCCCTGGCTGCAGGACTCTTCATATACTAACCCGGGAAAGCCTGCGAGCTGTAAGTGGGGACTGTCTTGGCAGGGCAGACAGGAGGTTGACTTCCTTATGAGAAAGTGGCCCAGACTCTAAGGCCCTAGGTGTGAATGTGGAGCCTGTGTAGGCTGTATGTTGACATAAGAGATTAAGTTGCACTGGGACACTCTACTTGAGAGCTATTTTGAAAGAACAAACTAAACCAAAAAACAAAACAAAACCCCCCGAATAATAGTAATTATAATTCCTTTCCCTCACTAAGTTATATCTTTAAATAAAGGCATGTGGAAAACAAGAATCTCCCCTTTGTGTGAATGGAAATGCGCTGCCGAGCAGGCACACTACGGGTCACGGCTTATGGCATTTCCCTGTTTGATGCCTTTATTGCTCTCAAAAGCACTTACATTTTTCTTTGCTTATATCACAGTTTCTTTATCAGTAGTTTCCTTTAAAAAAAAGCTATTAAATTCTTGCTATCTCTTTTTAAAGAGATTAGGAAATTTCAAAAGCTCTGTTACAGTGTGGAACACCAAGTGTCTGCTCTTGCCAATAGGACGGACTCTGGCACTGGGCTCCTGTCTTTCTCTGGAGGGACAGCCGTTTTCCGTGGACGGATGAGAAGGGTGAGGCCTACAGGAAGCCATGCACACAAGCTGGCTTGCAAAATCTCCTAGTGACCCCTGAGTGAAAAGTCCCCACTTCATCCCAGAGGGCACGAACGAACCCAGTTCCGGGGTAGGGAGCGCTACCAGCCAGTCCCTGCCCGCATGGAGAGTCCTGCCTGGGACCAGCAGAGGTTCTCTTCTGTAAGAACAATGAGGTTGCCAGGGGAATTGCTTGTCTAGCCTCCAGGGTAACGCACAGCCTGAGTCCCTTGACTGCTGCTGCTGGCCCAAGCCGGAAGTCCTAGGAAGAACCTTTTCCAAGTCTGGCCTCTAGGCCACAGCAGTGTACACTGACTTTCCAACACTCTGAAAAACAGCACAGAGCAGCCACTGTGATGTCAGATTAGCCCGGCAGAGCCATGAGCAGACCCCTGGACTCACCTGGCTGTCCTGGCATGGGGCTCAAAGCAGACTTCTGTAGCTTTTGCTCTTCACCAGTAGCTGGAACCCTGTTCTCGCTCACCCTGCCCCCACATCTGCCACTTTTAATCCCTCTTCCCCCTCCTCCTCCTCCTCCTCCTCCTCCTCCTCCAGATTCCTTTATTACCATACTTCTTCCCAGCGGATGTAGGGAGAGCAGGGCAGGAAATGTCAAAGAATCCAGGGTTCCCACTTGCCAACACTCCATCTAACCTAGATGGCAGTTCAGCAAAGGGATTTCACTTTTCTGCCAAGCTTGCCTCTCAAAATCACCCTTGGCCTCATAACACAGAATAAGGCCACTGTCTGGATGTCCCCCTGAGGCCTTCCATTCAAGACCCAAATTTCTGACATTCTGCACCATACCTTCCCCAAAGAAGGTTTCAGTTCTCCCTTCATGCCTGTGGAGGGAGGGTGCGGGGCTTGCCAGCAGTCAATTGTTGTGACCCAGCAGGTCCAGCCAGTGCCAAGACAACTGTTCTGTGGGCCTCTCATCAATTACTTTTTCTTTTCCAGGCTGGACACTCCTTGTGGAGCAAGGCAGGGCTGACTCATGCTCAGTGAATACTCTGGTAGGGAAAACACCAGAGTGCTAAATGGAAAAAGAAAAAAAAAAGTATTCTCTTGCCACCAACCATCTCGACAGTGGGCTGCAGCAAGGACTGATTTGAATGCTCTTCTTTCCTGGCAGCTTGGGGTGAGTTTTCCAGGACAGAAAGATGTACAGAGTTCCATCATCTTGATCATTTCTGTGGTCGATGGGAAGGCGAAAGGGAACAGGCAATTGGATGCTCCAAGCTCTGGGACAAATGAAACTGTGAAGAGCTTGCAATCAAGTCCTGGATCAAACCGACTCCTCTTTACGTAACAAGAAATGAGGATGGGCTTGCCCGCAGTGGACCTGGCCCCACCCTCCTGGAGGCGCTTTTGCCTGATGTTGCAGCACAACACCACCAAAAGTTACAACTTTATAATCATTTTAGATTGGCTAAAAAGTTCCTCCACTTAAAAAGTATATCAGACACACACAGCTCAAAATCCTGCTGTCACAATTACTGTCTCCCCTTGTGTCTTCCTGCCCTAACAGGGTTATTTCTAGCCCCTGTCTGGGCACAGGTGAGTGGCGCCTTGGCTCCTCCTCCTGGCTGTGGAAGCCCTCCCCTACACAGCTTCCTAGTTCCCATTCTCACCGTCCACTTCATCCTCTCTCTGCAGCCACAGCAAACTTTCTAAAACAGAAAACTGCTCATGTCACATTCCTGCTTAACCTCTTCAGCAGGTCCTTCGTAGCTTCCAGGAGACGCTATGAATTCCTTCCCGTATCACACAGGATGCTTTAGAAGCCAACCTGCCGACTTCCTCAGCATCATCTCTCCCCGCAAGACAGCTCTCCTGAGTGTCAGCGGTACCTTCACTCGAATATACTCTCCCTAGCAACAATGGGCTACTTACAATACCCCAGTGGCTTCCTCCAGCCACAGGTCTTCAGCCATGCAACTCTCATTGCCTAAAACACTTCCTCCCAGGGTGGCCTTGAAAACCTGAAGTGTAACTGTGAGGCCTCTGTGAAGCCCAGCATCCCACCCAACAGGAAGCTGGTGGCCTCAGCACTGCTGTCACCGCCCTGTTCTGCTGCCCAAACCCTGACACATAGTTTTGGACCATCCATGCATTCGTCTCCCTCACTGGAGTGTGGGCTCTGGCAGGGTGGGAACCCAGTTTTACTCATTTCTACTTTCTCAGCACCTGGCTTTGTTTGTTTTGAGACAGGCTCTCACTGTGTTGTAGGCTGGCTTAGAACTCGTAATCTGCCTCCATCAGCCTTCTGGGCTGTGAGATCACAGGTGTGTGACACCACACTGAAACCTGACGCGGTAGAAAAGGGTGGTGTGCAGTGCGGATTTAATGAAAGGAGGAGGTCAGATCAAGGAATTGATTTTTTTAAATTTTATTGATTGATTGATTGATTTTGCTGTACTTTCCGTTCAACTTAATCTGGACAGGGGCAGCAGCTTGGTAAGTGAGGCAGCTGCTAAAGCATGAAGACCAGAGTTCAGATCCCCGGGACCCACATGAAAGTTACGTGGGCATGATAGCCAGGCTGTAATCTTGGGATGTGGGAGGAGGTGACGGGGATCCCTGGAACCAACTGGCTGGCCAGAAGAGCCAAATCACGGCACTCCACGCCTAATGTGAGCCCTACCTCAACACATAAGTGGAGAGCCATTGAGGAAGACAACACCTCAGGCCTCCAAAGGCACATACACATACATGCAAACATGTATGTGCACCATGTAACACATCACACACACACACACACACACACACACACACACACACACACACACACACACTGTGGTGGTAGTGTGTTCCCCAAAATATTGTGCATGCTAATAAACTTATCTGGGGTCAGAGACAGAACAGCCACTAGATACAAAGGCTAGAAAATGGTGGCACTCATGCCTTTAATCCTAGCATTCCAGAGGCAGAAATCCCTCTGGATCTCTGTGAGTTCAAGGCCACAATGGAAACAGCTAGGCATGGTGACACATGCCTTTAATCCCAGAAAGCAGCCTTTAATCCCAGGGAGTGGTGGTAGAAAGCAGAAAGGTATATAAGGCGTGAGGACCAGAAACTAGCAGCATTTGGCTGGTTAAGCTTTTAGGTTTTGAGCAGCACAGTTCAGCTGAGAGCCATTTGGATATGAGGATACAGAAGCTTCCAGTCTGAGGAAACAAGACCAGCTGAGAAGTTGGCCAGGTGAGGTTAGCTGTGGCTTGTTCTGGTTCTCTGATCTTCCAGTTCACCCCAATACCTGGCTCGGGTTTGATTTTATTAATAAGACTCTCTAAGATTCCTGCTACAACACACACATACACACACGCGCTAAAACGGCATTATCCAAGTGCATAAGAAAAGCAAATGATAAATGATTCTTGGAGTCTGCATTCTAAACATTTTTTTCTTACAAATTCTAGATTTGATATTCTGAGCCTTTTAGCTCTCTTATTGCTTACTGTCATCCCCAAACTCCAAGTAAGTATGTCCGAGGAAGAACCTAGCCAAGTTGTGTGGCACTCACGAAATCAGTGGAAAGGATTATGGTGATGGAATGGGTTGGCCAATGTATTATAGTGTGAACATCTTATGATAAGAAGAGATGTGTCTTGGAAAGTCACCCCTTGGGGATAGTGAGGTGGCTCCATGGATAAGGGTTCTTGTGGCCAAACTTGATGACCTGAGTTCCAACTATGGAATCTACATGGTGGGAGCAGAAACCTGACTCCCGAAGGTCACAGTCTGTCCTATGACCTCCACATGTACACCATATGCATACACACACGTGCGGGCACACACACACACACACACACACACACACACACACACACACAAAACAGGTGTTTAAACCAAGTGTTCTCATAGAAATCTCCACTGCAGTGGCTGAAGCCCTGACTTAGCCCCTCCCCTTTGTGCATCACAGAGCTTACCGTCTTGACAGAGATAAGGTGAACACAGAGCAGAAGCCGCTACCAAGAGATGGCCCTCTGGAGAGGAAGACTCAGATCCCTGAAAACATATGGAACTCCACAGGACGGAGAGTTTGGAAGCGTGTGGAGGCTGGCTTCTAGCCCAGCTAGCCGTTAGCCGTGTGGGAGAGTTACCTGTCATTCAGGAGTCCAGGTTCTCAGTGTAAAATGAGAGGGTGGAAGCAGGGTCCTGTGAACCATTGAAATTCTTCAGAACCTTAAAAAACGGTCCCTGACCTACACATGAGAACTGTGGCCATGGAGGACGAACAGGGGTCAGTTCCAGCATTGTTCTGTGTCACTTGCGTGTCCTTGCGTGTCCTTGGCTAGATTTCTTGACATCCTTGAGCTTCCGTTTTGTAATCTGAGAAATGGGACTGTTAGAACCAAACTTTCTAAGCTATCAAATAACCCAGTGCAGTCCACATGTGGCCACTGCTTGGTGTGAGACCTTTGACATGGTAGTAGAGAGCACAGACCTTCCCACTTGGGGTGCTAGTGCCCCAACACTGCCCTCTCCTTAGACTTCAAACCCTGGTTCTGCTGGTGACCCAGAAGAAGCCTCTCACCTTCTCTGAGCTTCTATTCCTTCCCACAAGAGAGAGACAGAGGTCAGACCCCTCAAAGGGCAGAGGATTACATGAGAGAAAGGTGAAGCATCAGTTTAGAGACACTGACCAGGTCCCAGCAGACAAGATTTCCCCCGTTTTTCTGTCTAAACCGAGTCTTCTCAATCCAGTGTTCCTCCTCCAGTCTGACTCCTTCCCATCCATCCGAAGGGAAGAGGAAAGAACAGAGCGCCCGGGCAGCAGAAGGGCCCAAGGTCACCTTGGAGCCTCCCCGAGAGTTGGCCTGGAACTCATCTGCCCAGGAGCCCACTGGTTCACCCTATTTCACCTCCCTTGGTTTCCGAAGCTTAAAATAGACTGAACCGGTGTGGCCACATTTCACTGTGCCACTCAGAGAGAGCCCCTAGGGTGTTTTCAAAGCTGGCTCTGAGCTCCCCACCAGCCAGGCTCCTGTCCTGAGTTATTAAGACACACCCAGGCTCCACCAGGTCTGCCAGAGGAAATGCATTCTGAGAGGTCTCTGCTGGTCTGGTCTGCAGGCACCTCAGCCGCCCAGTGCGCTCAGATCAATCGGCCACTTCAGAGGGTGTAAAGAGGGGTTGTGAGACCCTCCTGGTGTCCAGCGCTACTGGACAGAGAAAAGAGTCCACAAGTTCTTAAGGGCAGCCAGGTAAAGGCTAAATGATGAGAGCTGGGTGGGCAGGGTTCTAGGCCCATCTACACCCCCATTGTTATGTGACCTGGAATAGGTCAGTCCCCCTCTCTGAGCTTTTAAGAGGCATTAAGATGCATCCTCCACAGCCTGGCTTCTCTTGTCCATTACCCACTCTGGTCTCATTCCCGTCTTCTGGGAAGTCCAGATGGCTTCCTGCAGTGTCAAGAGTACTCAAGGTCGTCACCAGCAGGGAATGCGAAGGTCTCTCTCTTCCAGGTCAAAGGCCTG